GGAAGGGGCGGGGCATATTTGCGTTCACTGCGACACTTACGCATATGACATGGTTTCTGAGCATAAATCAGCCTTTAGATTTAACCTCTGGATGTTCCTATGGAAACTGGACGTGAAGGTTCTGCTTTCCTCTCAAGGATAACCAGAATCCACCAGACAATTTTAACAGCTGTAGTTTGAGAGTTTTTTCCTATAGCCCTTTGTCACACAGTGGCTGAGGTTTCTTAATTTTGACCTGGTGAAAGGTTCTGGTATTTTGACTCATAGGAACCACTGGAACATCCCTTCAATGAAGATTGACGTTTCATTTTTTTAGTTCTTCTCTTTGACTCTCAGCTCCACTAATTTCATTAGATTCTCTGCTGTTCTTGAGTGGAGCTGAGAAAACGGTTCCCCTAAATGTCGGACTGTTCCTATCATCAGTGTAGGAGAGCAGTAGACTCCCTGATGGTCAGATTTAGTCAGTTTGTGGTGAATAAAACATGTTGCTTAGTGACTCACCTCCATCTTTGTTTTGTTTCACACCAGCAGCAGTTACTGGGAGAGTTAAATGAGGTAAACACCAACGGACTCTTCAAGCACATGCTTTAATTATCTTTTCTGATTTAACCCTTTTAAAATATTCTCACTGGAAAACATTCATATAACTGCTAATTGCTGACAGTACTTTATTTATTAGAACCTTTTTAAAGAAAGTTACTCTGCTCATTTCAAATCTTCATTTAGGAAAGAAGATTCTGTTTTGTATGTTAAATATCTGAGGTGGATAAAATGTGAAAGGTTCCCATTTCCTCCATATACTTCCAATGACTACAAATGTATCATTCCCAGTGATCCGCCAGCTTTTCCTAGACTTTAACCTTTCTTTATTTTCAGTTTGGTTTCCAAATTAGCTCTAAGAAATCTAGACTTCATCATATTTATTTTGTTTTTCAAGCTTCGATGCAAAAGGGCTCCTCGTAATCATAACAAAGAAACAAAACAACAAAAATAAAACAGAGCGGGCCACGAATTGGACCCTGTGGGACTCCGTATCTAAATACATACGATTGAGACAATCATATGTCACCTTATTAAGTCTCTCTTAATTCGATGACTTTGGGTTAAATGTTATAAATAGACAGTTTGCTCTGAATCAGATGGATCAGGGTCAAATGTTTCTGGATCTGATGGCTCAGCCTTAAACGGTTCCTAAAAGGATCGTTTTGAAGCCAGTGGTTTTAGATTTAAAAATTCTTGATCAGAATGTTTTGGATCCAATTAGTAAGAAAATGTCTGTGTGTTGCTGAGGTGGATTAGATTTTACTGGTGAAGCCGATGTTTGGAGTCAACTTTGTTCCATTATTGTTGCAAAAAATATATTTTGTAAATGGAAATTTTGAGAAAAAAAAGGAAAAAGCAAATGAAATTTTAATCAAAAATTTTCATCAAGTAACTTTGCTGTTTTCTCAGATTTTCCTTTCTTAGATTTTTAAATTTTTGTTTTCATATTGTATTTTGGTCAAACCTCTTTTTAAAAACGTTTTTTACAGAACTTAATTTCTTTTGTAATTTTAGATAGTTTTATGGATGACATTCTTTTCAAACTGTGTTTCACATATCCAATTCTCTTTGCTACTTTGCTCCC